GTACTAAGATTGAATGTCACTTGGGGGTTGAATAAAAAATGATAATGCTGTGAGCACAGAAAAGACATTTGTGGTTATTTCATTATAACTGTTATGTTATATTTGTCTGACCTACAAGTGCCTCTTTAATGTAAATGTAAGCAAGATGACTGAATGATCAAAAGCAATGTCAAACTGGCCAAAACACTCAATTTCAGTGGGGGTTGAATATTTTGGACACAACTGTATATGGGCAATATGAAGAGTTGTGTGCAGGGGCGGACTGACAACTCATGGGGCCCCCCAGGCAATAGGGGATCATGGGGCCCCTGTGTCCTTGCCCCAAACTCAAAAAGCCTAGGAAAAAGGTACCAGGGGCATCTCATGAGGCCCCCTACTGACCCCGGGCCCTCGGGCAGTGCCAAGTTTCCAAATGGTCAGTCCGCCCCTGGTTGTGTGACCATACTGGAAATTTCCATTTCAGCAACATTTTCATAGGACCTTTGTTGATGACTATTCACATCACCATAGCGCAGATCACAATTTTCTGTAAACTATTTTAGTCTTTTCTAATCTATTCTATTTTTTTCTGTTCCTTTATACTCTATTCTAATGTATCCTGTTCAAATTCAAATTCATTCTGTTGAACATTTGAATTTCATAAGGTAGTTATATTCTATTTTATACTATTCTAATCTTTTCTATTCTATTCTTTGATTTTCTATTTTTTTCTAATCTTTTCTATTCTGTTCTAATTGATTCAATTCTATTCCTTTATTTTCTGTTCTATTTTGCTCTGTTTTACTCTATTACTTTCTATTATTATTTTTTTATTTTCTATTTCCAATCTTTTCTATTCTATTCTAATTGATTCTATTATTTTCTATTTTATTCTTTGATTTTCTATTCTAATCTTTTCTATTCCATTCTAATGGATTCTATTCTTTTCTATTCCTTTATTTTCTATTCTATTTGGTTCTGTTTTACTGTATTATTTTCTACTGTATTCTATGCTATTCTTTTATTTTCTATTTTATTCTATTTCTTTCTTTTCTTTTCTATTTTATTCTATTCTTGTTTTCAAATTCAAATTGGTTTTCAAGTTTTGATTCAAACTTGAATTTGTTTTCGAATGTGTTTTCGAATTCGAATCAATTAGAATTTCGTCTGAATTTTTTGATATTTCAGATTTGTTTAAATCCATTACTATTGTAATTCAAAAGTCGTGTATATCCAAATCTCCGAATAATGGAAAATTTGTCTGAATTTGATTTGGAACTAAATGAACTGCACACGTCTACTCACTGGCTTACCTTTACATAGGCTATGCCCCCTCCAGTCCATCATCAATGTTGCTGCCAGGCTCATCCACCTTACCAACCATTCAATGTCTGCTACCCCTCTCTACCAATCCCTGCTACAACATGCAACAAGCATCAACCAAATTGCTCTCCTCATTCCTCCCAAGACCTCCTGTTCTCTAGTTCCCTTGTCACCTCCTCCCATGCTCGCCTAAATGAGAATTCCCATCCTATGGAATTCCCTACCCCAATCTGTCTGACTATCTCTATGTTCACTTTTAGGTGATCCTTGAAAACTCTCCTCTTCAACCTTTCGTTCCCTCACCTAACAACTGTACTTGTATTTTCTCTATCAGCTCATCCCCCACAGTTATTACCTTTTGTATCACTTGATCCTCCCTCTTAGACTGTAAGCTCTAAGTCCTCATGCACACGGTACGTTTTTACAGCGGATGTTTTTGGCTTCTGACGTTTTTTTTCTACAGCCAGTAACCCCCCCCAACATGTTATCCTCGGTGTCAATGCAGATATAGCCTATAATCAACATTTTTTTTGGCAGGGGCGTCTTGTCGCTGGAAAAAAAAACCCAGAACTAGTGAGCATCTAGAGGAGTTTTTAAGCTGTAAAAAAGCTCTAACGCTGAAAAATGTGTCAAAATGAGTTAAAATGCCGCAAACCAGGCTTTTTTGATTTTTTTTAACCAAAAAATCGCTAAGAAAACCCAAAAACGTGGGAGAACACTGCTAAATGCTGAAAACGCCGCTAAATGCTAATGCAAAAACAGTAAAAAACTCAGACTTATGCAACTAACATTACCAGCGTTATTGAAACAAACCCCCCCCCCCCCCCCCCCGCAGTGTGCATGGAGTCTTTCTGTATTCAATTGTACTGTAACTGTACTGTTTGCCCTCATGTTGTATAGTGCGGCACAAAGTGTTGGCTCTATATAAATCCTGTATAATAATGATATTATTATATTCTCTTTTCCTCTCCCACAATCCTCTGATGGAAATCCCATTGCTAGCTGTGAGACAACACAAGACAACTCATTTCCTCAGAAGCTCTGACTCCGATGCTCATTGTGTTTGTATTGTTCTTCCTGCAGACAGTGAAAAACTGCATGAAATGTCCTGATGATGAATGGCCAAATGAGAAGAAGAATCGCTGTGTTCCAAGAGTGGTGGAATTTCTCTCCTACACTGATGACACCATTGTTGTTGCAGTATTTTCAGCCATCTCCATCCTCTGTTGTCTTCTGACTGGTTTAATATTGAGGATATTTATACATTACCAGGACACCCCCATTGTTAAAGCCAATAACCGGAACCTGAGCTATCTTCTCCTGGTCTCCATCATGCTGAGCTTCCTCTGCGTCTTCTTGTTCCTCGGCCATCCAGTAGATGTAACCTGCATGCTGCGTGTCACCTCTTTTGGTGTCATCTTCTCAGTTGCCGTCTCTTCTCTACTTGCCAAAAGTATCATGGTGTGTATTGCCTTCAAGGCCACTAAACCTGGGAGTCCCTGGAGGAAATGGATGGGAGCCACCAAGCCTAATTTTATCATCTGTGTCTTCTCATTGGTCCAAGTCATAATCTGTGTCACTTGGTTGTCTATTTCTCCCCCCTTCCAGGATCAGGACACTCACTCTTATCAGGGGAAGATCATCATCCAGTGTAATGAGGGTTCAGTTATCGGCTTCTACTCTGTCCTGGGATATATGGGGCTTCTGGCAGCTGTGAGCTTCATTATAGCTTTTATGGCCAGGACATTACCGGACAGTTTTAATGAGGCCAAGTACATCACCTTCAGCATGCTGGTGTTCTGCAGTGTCTGGATTGCCATGATCCCGACCTATCTGAGCACCAGAGGGAAATACATGGTGGCTGTGGAGGTCTTTGCTATAATGGCCTCAAGTTCTGGACTTCTTGGCTGTATATTTTCCCCAAAATGTTACATAATTCTGTTCAGACCTGACCTGAATACAAAGACAGTTATCCGTTAATATGTGAGGAGCAACACTGGGGTTACCAGCAATGGCATTATCTCTATATCTGTAAATTTTAGTATTTTGCTATTAGTATTGGGAATGAACATTGTAATATATAAACATTTAATCCTTACGTCTCCAGTGTCTGGTGAGTCTAATGTTTGCTCTGGACACAGCTGGTATCAGACGCTGTGGGTTTTTTAGAAACCTTGTCCTTGCTGGGTTTAGTGGTTCCTCCCACCATCCATTACATCACTACAGAAAAATGTAGTCACTTAGTGAGGAGGAACCACAGTGACCAGAGGGGGACAAAGTATCCAAAACTTCCTGAAGTGTCAGATACCAGAGACACCCATCACTCCTCAACAGAGGGAAAATTTCACTCACCACCTTCCTGAAAGATAAATATTAAATTATATTTCTTTTATCGGCTGATTGTAATGCCATTTTCATAGTGTCAGGGTCACTTTAATTATATTGTATGTAGATTTATTTGGCTATATTAATAAATACAGTTTATTTGGTGTATTCTAAAACCTTACTTAATATTAGTTGAAGTGTTCCTAAACCCCCAGCAGTACAATCAGTCTGTAGATGCAGTAAAGCATGTTTGTTATACTCACTGTGGATCCTAAGGGGTTAATCCTCTGTATTGTATAAAAAGGCTGTCTGATATGTCGCCTCTGATCCTCCCCTTCTTCTACTGTCCCCTTCTTATCTCATGATAAGGCATATTGAGTGGAGACACTCTGCACATGCTCAGTTTGGTGTGTTTTTCTGGAAAGTTTTATTTTTTTTCTTGGGAGAGTGCATGTGATCATCACGGGGCCAATCAGCACTGTCCAGACAAAGGGTCAGGGGTCTTGCAGCCTTCTACAGCAAAATTAAAACTCCTCCCACAATCTTTAACCAGTGCTCTGCTGGACACGGATAGAAGTCACAAGACTGCTCTATACTGCTGATGAGAAAAGCTATTCACTAGTTTATATTTACTAAAATAATTGCATTTCCATGTTCCGTGGGAGACAAGGTAGAGTGAATGCGGGGTCTTGGGATTTGTAACACTTTAAAGTTGACGAGATCATGTTCTCAGTAAGTTCACATTTGTAGTGATAAGCTGACCTTGCCAGATCCTGATATCAAAATATAAAAAGAACAGGTTCCAGGAGCAATCATGGGTTTTATTCTGAAGAAGACATTAAACATCAGAATTACAACAACAAAGGGGCTTCACGTATTTTGAACTAGATGTTTTTACCCATAAGGACCCCATAGAGGGGGTATGTCTGCAATCGTTAAAATCTCCTGCTCAGATGTGTCAAAGGAAAAAAACTAGAAAAATTAGAAGTGACAATCCCCCCATTCCTTCCTATAGGCTTCCAAATCATACACTCTTAAAACAATTCTGAATAAAAAAAACAAAAGAAAAACACAAAAAAAGTTGTATAGTAATAACCACTTCCCAACTGGCCCATGTATATAAACGGCCGGACGGGAGCAGTGCAGGGGAGGGTTGCCGTTCATAAACCACACACACCATTTTAGCCTGTGTGCACTCCCTGGGAGAACACGGCACCGCGATCCAGTGCCCACTGTGTCCGGAGGACACAGCGGAACACCAATCACTGTACGGAAACTCTGTGTGAGGTCCCAATCATGTGATCCCTGATTGGCCAATCAGTGATCACATGAATAGTAATAAGCAAGATGTCACTTCTGACATCATTGCTTACTACGTGTGAAATCTGTGAATGATCACAGAGATCACATGGTACAGGGCTATTCACAACAGCCTTGTACCATGTGACAAGCTGTGACCAATCACAGCTCGCACGGTATTTCTCAATGGCTGCAAGAATGCAGCCAGAGAGAAGGAGAAATGATTGCTTTTACAGCCTTTATGTGTGCTCCCTGGGAGCACACGGCACCGCGATCCGGTGCCCACTGTGTCCGGAGGACACAGTGGAACACCAATCACTGTACAAGACCTCCGTGTGTGAGGTCCCGATCATGTGATCACTGATTAGCCAATCAGTGATCACATGAATAGTAATAAGCAAGATGTCACTTCTGACATCAGTGTTTACTACGTGTGAAATCTGTGAATGATCATAGAGATCACATGGTACAGGGCCATTCACAACAGCCTTGTACCATGTGACAAGCTGTGAGCAATCACAGTTCACACAGTATTTCTCAATGGCTGCAGGAATGCAGCCAGAGAGAAAGAAAAATGATTGCTTTTACAGCCTTTATGGGTGTAAAAGCAATCAGCGTAAAAAAAAAAAAAAAAATCTTCATCAACCCCACATGTAGTACAGTGTCACTATGGTGACACTGTACTGCTAGGGTGACAGTATGTTAAAAAAAAAAAAAGAAAACATAAAATAATAATAATAATAAATACAAAATAAAATAATAATGTAATTTTTTTTTAAAAAAATTATAATTTTTGGTTATAAACTAATTTAGCTATTTTTTTTTAACTAAAAAGATAACGGAATAAATTTTGGCCAAGATTTATGAAGACAGATTATTTATTTGCAAACTTTTATAAGAAAAACACTTTTTTTTCAAAATTTTATGGACTTTTTCATTTATATAGCAAAAAAATAAAATAAAAATCCCAGCGGTGAATAAATACCACCAAAATAAAAAAATTATCTGTCTCAAAAAAAATGATAAAATATTCATATGGGTACAGTGTTGCATGACCGCACAATTGTCATTCAAAGTGTGATAGCGCTGAAAGCTGAAAATTGGCCTGGACTGGAAGGGGGTGAAAGTGTCCGGACTGGAAGGGGGGGGGGAAAGTGTCCGGACTGGAAGGGGGCGAAAAAGCGTCCGGACAGGAAGGGGGTGAAAGTGTCCGGACTGGAAGTGGTTAATCAATGTGTATAGAAAACCCTCAGCGCTATGGACCTCCTAAAAAAAGAAAAACTTGTGTGGCTAGCAAATATTGTGTTTCCACATATACAACATAAATATAAACAAATTGAAAATGCGGCGCAACAATATAAATGCAAAATGTAGTGCTAAACAATAATATGTGAAAAAACCAAGGATTATGCCTGTGAGAATCAATGTGTGCTACACCAGACGTCTAATCAATACATACATATAGGACTCCATAAACTGCACACAACCAGTGCTCTACCTGAATTGTGCACATAGATAACGAATTATTGTCTTTAATAGTGAACTGTCCCTTTAAATCTTAAATATCAGGACGTGGACTTGTGTGGTATATATTATTAATTATACAGTATTTATAAAGCGCCAATAGTTCGCTCAGCGCTGTACATTACAAAGGGGGACAGAACATGTGACAGAACAATACCAATACAATGCAAAACATGAGGGGATCGAGGGCCCTGCTCCTTGGAGCTTACAATCTAGGAGGGAGGGGATGGTGGCACAGGAGGAGATAGCTGTGGGGGATGGAGGTGGTAGGAAGAGTGGAGGAGGTCGGTAAGTTAGCAGGGGGTGGGGTAGGCTTCCCTGAAGAGATGGGTTTTCAGGGTGCGCCTAAAGGAGAGGAGAGTAGGTGATAATCTGATGGGTTGGGGCAGGGAGTTCCAGAGGATGGGTGACACCCTGGAGAAGTCCTGGAGGCGGGCATGGGAGGAGGAGACCAGTAAACTAGAGAGAAGGAGGTCTTGTGAGGAGCGGAGTGTGCGTGTTGGGCGGAACTTGGATATTAGGTCAGTGATGTAGTTCGGGGCAGTATGGTGGACGGCTTTGTACGTCAGTGTTAGGATTTTGAATTGGGCAATCAGATCCGTTGGGCAATCAGAAGCCAGTGGAGGGATTTGCAGAGGGGGGGGTGGCGGAAACGGAGCTGTTGGAAAGGTGAATGAGTCTGGCAGCCGTATTCAGGATGGACTGAAGCGGGGATAGCCAGCGGCGAGGCAGGCCAGTGAGGAGGGAGTTGCAGTAGTCGAGTCGTGATATGATGAGGGAGTGGATGAGCTGTTTAGTGGTTTCTGGGGTCAGGAACGTGCGGATTTTGGCGATGTTGCGGAGGTGGAGTCTGCATGAGCTTGTATCTCATCCCATAAATCATGATCCACGTACACCAACTATAACTGTGATAGGAATATGGTCTCAAAAAATGGTGAACAGTCCCTTTAAATCTGCTGTACTTTGAAATAGACCAGTGTACCACACTACTGTACAGGGGTGGACTGACCATTTGGAAACTCGGGCACTGCCCGAGGGCCGGGGTCAGTAGGGGGCCCCATGAGATGCCCTTGGTACCTTTTTCATAGGCTTTTTTGGGATTGGGCAAGGACACAGGGGCCCCATGATCCCCTACTGCCCGGGGGCCCCATGAGTTGTCAGTCCGCCCCCTGGTAGCATCAATAAAAGTATACTATGGCTATGGATGCGGCAGGGTGGAAACACGTATCGCTCAGGTATTCCAAGCTACTATATACTTTGAACTAACAAGAACTACGGCCTGAGAAGAACAGACAGCTAAGAAGAGACTGCAGAGGAAAAGGGAGAGTCGGAGTAATATGGTATCTCAGCGGAGCCATCTATCTAGTCACAGACTCAGCAGAGGCAAGAGATTAGAAAACGAGAGAGACAGGAGACAAAGATAAAGGAAAGAACAAGAGAAAAGAAGGAAGAAGGACCCCTGAGGGTGGCACAAACAAAGATCAGATATGTCTGAATTGGAGTTTTACCATGGTAAGAGTATCATCAAAGTTTGGGGGAAGACAGTGCTTGATCCATGGCTGCCAAAATATTTCAAATTTCTTGATCTGGTCTTTTTCTGAGGCTTTTTTGAGTTTGGTCAAGGACACAGGGGCCCCATGATCCCCTATTGCCCGGGGGCCCCATGAGTTGTCAGTCCGTCCCTGCTACTGTATACACGTGTACGGTGCTCTTGTGTCACCCCTTAGAGCTCTTCCACTTCCAACACTCTATTGCTCTCACCTCCAGGTTTGACCCATAATGACAGGTCAAACTACGCTTTCCCCTTTTACCCGGGAGAATATACTGGTACATAAATCTTCACCACCATTATCCAGCACTTGTAATCATCTCCAGATCGCTCCACATCCATGTGAAATAAATGCACCATATAGTGTAATATTGCCACCCAAAATAACCTTTAATAATCTAGTAAAACTCACATTAAAATGTGTCCTCCTGGGACAATGCAGAGTTAAAAACTCACTATACAGTGTTTGCTGTGAGAAATGTGCAGAAATCCCTTATCCAAAATGACGGCACGTGCACTTGCAGTCTTACGGCCTGACGTCATCGGTGCACCTTACGCGTTACGTCATATCATGTGACTTCATCAGGAATAGCCGATTGGATGTTAAAACCCTTCTATTTATATCTAATTGTAATATAGTACATCTGTGTCAGCGCCATTTTGTTAGACACCGTCCCATGGTCTCGGTCGCCATTTTCTTGTGGACTTCTACATAACACTAGTGCATCGGTCTCACTCTGCCGGGAGAGATTGCTATGACGACCAACATGACAAGTGCATGGACGGGGACGAGCACAGAGAGGTCTGCCATATACTGAATTACTCTGTGTGCTCTCCTTAAGGGAAATTGGCTACGACTTATAACTTACACCGTGGATATGTAAATAAAATATATAGAGAGAGTAATGAGGGAATGTAAGTAAAATATATAAAGAGAGTAATGAGGACATGTTTATTTATTTATTTCAGGTACTTATATAGCGCTGTCAATTTACGCAGCGCTTCACATATACATTGTACACTCACATCAGTCCCTAACCCTCAAGGGGTGTACAATCTAAGGTCCCTAACTCACATTCATACATACATATACTAGGGACAATTTAGACAGGAGCCAATTAACCTACCAGCATGTCTTTAAAGAGTGGGAGGAAAGAGGAAGTACCTGGAGGAAACCCACGCAAGCACAGGGAGAACATGCAAACTCCAGGCAGGTGGTGCTGTGGTTGGGATTCGAACCAACGACCCGAGTACTGCCAGGCGAAGTGCTAACCACTTAGCCACTGTGCTGCCCATAAGTAAAATATGTAAATAGAGTAATGAGGACATGTAAGTAAAATACATATAGAGAGTAATGAGGACATGTAAGTAAAATATATATAGAGAGTAATGAGGACATGTAAGTAAAATATATATAAAGAGTAATGAGGACATGTAAGTAAAATATATATATAGAGAGTAATGAGGACATGTAAGTAAAATATATATAAAGAGTAATGAGGACATGTAAGTAAAATATATATAGAGAGTAATGAGGACATGTAAGTAAAATATATAAAATAGTAAATGAGGACATGTAAGTAAAATATATATAGAGAGTAATGAGGACATGTAAGTAAAATATATATAGAGAGTAATGAGGACATGTAAGTAAAATATACATATAGAGAGTAATGAGGACACGCCAAAATGGAAGCCACAGAAAAAGACCAGATCGAGAAATCTGAAATATTTTGGCAGCCATGGATCAAGCATTGTCTTCCCCCAAACTTTGATGATACTCTTACCATGGTAAAACTCCAATTCAGACATATCTGATCTTTGGTTGTGCCCACCCTCAGGGGTCCTTCTTTCTTCTTTTCTCTTGTTCTTTCCTTTATCTTTGTCTCCTGTCTCTCTCGTATTCTAATCTTTTGCCTCTGCTGAGTATGAGACTAGATAGATGGCTCCACTGAGATAATATTACTCCGACTCTCCCTTTCCTCTGCAGTCTCTTCTTAGCTGTCTGTTCTTCTCATCCGTAGTTCTTGTTAGTTCAAAGTATACAATAGCTTGGAATACCTGAGCGATACGTGTTTCCACCCTGCCGCATCCATGGCCATAGTATACTTTATTGATGCTACCAGGGGCGGACTGACAACTCATGGAGCCCCCGGGCAATAACGGATCATGGGGCCCCTGTGTCCTTGCCCAAACTCAAAAAAGCCTATGAAAAAGGTACCAGGGGCATCTCATGGGGCCCCCTACTGACCCCGGGCCCTTGGGCAGTGCCCGAGTTTCCAAATGGTCAGTCCGCCCCTGGATGCTACCTGGTTCTCCATATTGGTTGCAACCTCATGCATCCAATTTACCTGCTTTATATTGATTACATGTTACCTGTTAATTATACCTATTGGTCTTTGTTTTGTATTACCATTTATACCAATTGTATATTTTGTACACGTATGGTAT